AGCACAACTTGTACAAGGAAAGGTTATGGAAGCTCCATAGACACATCCAAACTCCCTGAGGGATGGAATTGCTGGGTGGAGGGCTGTGGGGACCATGCTCTCAGGGAACATCTAGCTTAATTGGCATAACACATTTTATAAAGAAAATGTTCTACATTCTACCGTGATGAGTAGCGTCTGGGGTCTTGAAAGTCTGTGAGCAGCCTAAGATACTCCACTGGTCTCACCCCTTCGGCAGCAAGGGAGAATGAAGAAAACAAGATACAAGGGAAAGATTAGTCAAAAGGACTAATGCACCACAGCTACCACAGCCTCCACCAGACTGAGTCCAGTACAACTAGATGGTGCCTGGCTACCACCAATGACTGCTCTGACAGGGATCACAACAGAGGGTCCTGGACAGAGCTAGAGAACAATGTAGAACAAAATTCTAACTCACAAAAATAGACCAGACTTACTGGCCTGACAGAGACTAGAGAAACCCTGAGAGTATGGCTTCTGGACACCCTTTTATCTCAGTAATGAAGTCTCTCCCAAGGTTCAATATTCAGCTAGAGATTAGAGAGTCCCATAAAACAAAATGAGACTAATGGGGCACAACAGTCCAGGGACAAGGACTAGAAGGCAGGAGGGGACAGGAAAGCCAGTAATAGGGAACCCAAGGTTGAGAAGGGACAGTGTTGACACGTTGTGGGGTTGTTAACCATTGTCATAAAACAATGTGTATACTGTTTAATGAGAAACTATTTGTTCGGTAAACCTTCATCTAAAGTACAATAATAATAATAAAATGTTTCTTTTATGAGAGCAGCCTTGTGTCCACATCAGTTTATTTTTAGTGGTCCAGTCAGAAACTTTAGGCCTAGAAAGAGAGCTGCTTCTACAGTGATATAATGGAGGACTAGTCTTTGATGTGCTGTATTGTTTTTCTCTGAAAGCAGCTCAGTGAACCAGGTTTGTTTTTTATCCCCCTGAATCTTCTCAACTGTGGCTTCTCTTCTTTAGTATACTGTGAGGTAAAATACATCCTGTTTTAAGTTAGATTCCCTATCTTAAAAATTCTCTTTGGACAGTAAGTGTGAAAAACATGTTAACCTATCTCATGTATTCAGTGAATATTTATTTATATCAGCCATACTTTCTATGAAATGTATCTGTTAGTTCAAACTATATGAAATTGTCATTTTGCAGATCAGAAAACAATCAAATGTTGGCAAATTTTGTATTGTTCAACCTAATACATGAATTTGGAATTCCCTGAATAAGATATCTCCTGAAACATTAATTCAAAGTGTGTTATTCAGCTGTTTTTTCAACAATGGGAGAATTCTTTCAAGTTACTTGAGGGTAACTTGAATCGTAAAAACTGTTTGACTAAAATTTGTTAAATTGATAATTCTTTCTTTCCATTTTCTGTTTTTGGTGGTGCTGGTGATCTGTTTATAACAGCTTGGAGGTCTAGAATTGTCTTCTAGGTCTTCAAGAGAGATATCTGAGCTCATTAATGAAAGATGGTGTGGAATTTTTAAATGCATTTTGTTTTTGGTGCCTTTTTTTAGTGATATATGATTTGGTTGTGTTTTGAAAGGTTTGTACTTTCTGGAAATCTGCATGGTGGCTCGGTGGTAGCAAGCTATCCTTTTGATGATTCTCCGGAACATAAGGTCACTGGAATCTATAGCAAAACCTCAGATGATGAAGTCTTTAAATACTTGGCAAGAGCCTATGCTTCAAACCACCCCATAATGAAAACTGGTGCACCTCATTGTCCAGGAGATGAAGATGAGACTTTCAAAGATGGGATCACAAATGGAGCCCATTGGTATGATGTAGAAGGTATGTGAAGCACTGGATTTGCTATGTTTTTCGCCTTGCTTATTTAACTTTCTTACATATACTCTAAGTTGTAAAGAGGAATTCTAATTTTTAAAAATCTTATTTCTTTTTATTTTGAAACTTTCATACCCACAGTAAAGTTGAAAGACTACCATGAACACCCATATATCCTTCATTTAGATTTTCTAGCTATTACCGCATGCTCCATCTTTCTGTGTCTCTTGCTGTCTCTCACTGTCTTCACACACACACGCAGTCTTTTGCCAAACCATCTAAAAGTAGTTTGCAGATATCATGACATTTCACTCGTTAAGTACCTCAGCATACATTTTTTTTAAGCATGGGGACATTCTCCTGCACAAACCATTACCGTAAGTGAGAAATAAACAGTAACTCAATACTATCATCCCCCATGCTATCCATAACTTAAATTTCCCCTATTATCCCAAAAATATCCTTTATAACTCCTTTTCCTCCTGTCCCAGGGTTCAGTCAAGGTTCAAGCATTGCACTTGGCTCTTGTGTGTCTTTAGTTTTCCCAATCTAGAACAGTCCTATCAACTCCCTCTTTTCTTAATTATGGTGCATCCTTTGAAGAGTCCTATGGAATATCCCATATCCTGGATTTTGTTACTTTTTTTTCTTCCTAAGATTCATGTCAGATTTTCCAGCAAGAACATTGCATCAGACTGCAAGTGGTGTAGTTGGACAGCTTGGTTAATGTGGTGGTGACCACCAGATCTCTCCATTTTATATAAAGGCACATTTTCCTTTTGTATTTTAATCTATGGGATGATCATGGAATGTTATTTGAAAGAAAGTTGCTAAAGGAAGCTTGAATCATTTATCTTTTCTCTTTAAGTGTTATGAAAACAGCTATTCTTCTTAGACCTTTGGTACCCTTTGATTAGTAACCTTTTTGTTTTTGTCATAAACTTAATCTGTTTTATTGAAAGTAAGTAGAAGGTACAAATCAACCCACGGAAATGTCATCAATATAAACTTTTTCTCTTCTTAGAATCTGCCCATGGTGAAATTACGCGTTAGGTCTTCCTTACCTTTTTACTGGCAATTAGTCACATTATAAAATGCCTTATAACATTTCTCTTAATGTGCCTTTATTTAAATCTCTGTTTGACTTTTGGTGTCAAGCCTTGTATACCCAAATTGAGTCCTAAGTTTGAGGACTTGATACCTTCTAGAGTTTTTTGATCACTCTATAGGGTCCCTATGAGTCGAAATCAACTTGATGGCAATGGTAGGGTATAGTTTCTACCAGTGTTTCTTGTATATAACAAGCATCCACAGAGAGGTTTCAAATATTTAGAAGCCAAACTTTCATCCCATAAGACTTAGAAGTGATTTGAAAATCATTTAAAGTTCTTTCTAGATCAGGGACATACCAGTACCATCAGCAAATATATTTAACAAAACCTGACTTCGTGAACTGGTTGTTCTGTGATATAATCAAATTGCTTCATTAATTTGAAATTATATTACTTAAAACAATGGGTTGAGAAGTAATTTTGCTTTTTGGAAAAAGTTGTAAATGGTTAGAAAGTAATTGACAATTAAGGAAGATAAACCTATGTTATACTATTTAAAAAGTAAATGTGTTGCCTTCACAGAAAGTAAGTGTACTTTGGTGATAAGGCCAGAGATTATTTGGTTAAACAAGTTATCAGATTCTGATTCTTCAAACATTTGAAGAAGATGCATGTTGCTGCTGTTAGACTGTTTTTATGTGCGTCCACTTTTCTCCTGTTTCAGCTAAATGGTGAGACATGTTTAATTCTATTTCCAGTATAACTGGCCTATTTCTCTTAATACCTCAGCAAATACCAAGCATTTTCTCCTCAAAGAGGAGGAGGTTGTGATAATTTCAATAGTTTCAACAGAGCAAGTTCATTTTGTTTATCTTCTGTGGGACTGCGGTAAGATGTTGTGAAACCTTGTGACTTGGCATGTATTCAAACCTGGATGCCCTGGAGTAATTTTACTAATGCTCTGCGTGATGTGTTTTGGAATCCTATCTCAAAGAAGTATAGACTTTCAGAGCTGAACATGAATATATTGATCAATGAACCCTCTTCACTGGAATTTAAGGTCTAAGAGAGGAAATAACTTGTGCAAGGGCATGTACGTAATCATTTAGCAAATATTTACTGAGCACTTGCCACGTCTCATACACTGTATGCGGTCATGGGGATACAGTGTGAGCAAAACAGTAACAGTTCCTGCTGTCCAGGATCAGACTGTATAATAGTAGCGGGGGATGTGACAGTGATCTGGCCTGCACCACCTCAAGTTCATTGCCAAGGTTGACTCAGGATATCTAGCTGCCTATGTGGGTGGGCCTTGCCTCTTTCAACATGTCTCTCAAACCTGTAGAATCCACCTAGGGAGTGACCATCCTGGTAAGGCCTGTGAATAGTCAGTCTCACTCCTCTGCTAAAGCCTGTTACTGTGAGAGCCTTAGCTGGACTTCTTCAGGGAGCAGACCTTTTTTTTTTTTTTAAAATCACAATGTACTGATTTGTATGCCTTTGTCTACCATTGTTTTTTCTTTCTTCACAGTTTTGAAGACATTATAAAAATCAGCTATTGGTTTAGTATGTTTATTCCAAAGCAAATTTAATGAAACTGAACTGTAGTTTAGGTCAACTTTTAAGAATTACCCTCTTTCAACTTATGAAAGTTGAAAAAGGGCAGATAAACTCTTTCAGTAAAGACTACCTAAAATTGAAGTTATATGATCAAAGGTCACAGTTTGTATAACTTTTAGAAGTTTTCTTGGGCAGAAAGTTGTTATATTTTATTTTCCTGCAGATAGGAAGACTCTAGAAGGTAGTGTAATTATAGTAGTTAAGAGCAGGGCTTTGGAATCTCACTGCCTTGGGTTTGAATTCTAGCTCCGCTGTTGACTAGCTCTGTGTGTGTGTGTGTGTGTATGTGTGTGAGAGAAAGAGATAGAGAGCGATTGATCTTGGACAAGTTATTTAATTTCTTTAAGCCTCAATTCCCACATCTGTAAAAAATGAAGATAAATACAACTTAGACCTTATAGGATTATGAGACCCAAAAAAGATCATGTATGTAAAGCTCTTAGCCTAGCACCTGGTACCATGACTATTTAGCTCCACTAGAATTTAAACGTCATAAGGACAGTGACTTTGTTTTTTTCAGTTTTGTACTTCTAGCACACAGAACCATGCCTGGTATATAGAAGGTGTATAGTAAGTCTTTTTTCAACCAGTGAATTCCTGGCATCTGAAAAATGAACACATAGTTATTTAAAATCTTAGATAATCTTAGACTAGATAATTTCGTAGAAATTTGTAATTTCTATTTATAATTTCCTAATTTCTCTTCTCTGAGAAAATAAGCTTACTTACTGGTAGATCCTAGATGAGTATTTTTCAAACTTTTTTTTTTTTTATTGTGACCTACAGTATGAAGTACCTTTCATTCATTTGCATACATTTTATATATGTGTGTATATAAAACTGAAACAATATCATGAAGCAGTAAGTATTGCAACAAATTTCTAGTGTTATCCCTTCTAGTCTGTTTTATGTCGTTTTTTAAAAAAAGCTTATCTGAACCCACTGACATATTTCACAACCCATTAGTAGATCATAATCTGCAGTTTGAAAAAGCACTATGTTTTTTTTAAACTGTTCTTTAGATGAAGGTTTACAGAGCAAACCAGTTTCTCATTAAACAGTTAATACACATATTGTTTTGTGACATTGGTTTCCAGCCCCACGACACGTCAGCACTCTCCCCTCTCGACCTTGGGTTCCCCATTACCAGCTTTCCAGGCCCTTCCTGCCTTCTCGCCCTTGCCCTGGGCTGGGGTGCCCGTTTAGTCTCATGTTGTTTTATGGGCCCATCTAATCTTTGGTGGAAGGGTGAACCTCAGGAAAAAAAGCACTATTCTTGATCACCCTATAATAAACTTGATTTATTTTCAAATTCTAAATAGGAATAAAATACAAGTTTCATGTGATAACTTATTGCTTGAGGTTTTTCTTTTGCCCAGGCTTGTTTATGTCTGAATCATTTCTAGTAGAAACCAAGCCATAAATATTTATCTCAGTTGACTTACTTTTAGGCTGCCTTCCCTATCATATAAAGTATCGAGACAGGAAATTGGTCAGAAATATGGTTGTCGGGTGTATGTGTTGCTCATGTGAGTCTGTGCATTCTATGATTAGTCAGGACAGCTGCCATATAGGCTTTGTATTTATGTCTTTTTAAGCCACTGTGTGCTTTTTCAAACTGTAATTATCCTTTTTTTCCCCTTCTGGAAGAAGAAGAAAATGTTCTGTGTATTTATCAAACTTTCTTCTCTTAACTTTTATACTATAGTCAGTTGTAGAATGTGGCAAGATAGCATGTAATGTAACCCATTCTGTTTTCCTGTGGCTATAAACTCCTTTGATCACGTGGGCAGCCTTTCTCTGCTTGAAGTGGAGGTCAAACTGAACAGCACTTTGTTGTTGTTAGTTGCCCATGAGTTGATTCTCTAAATATTGAGGTGCATTTGGCTGAAGTAGATTGCTGGTGAAAAAAGCAGAGCATGGGGAAAATGATAAAATCAAATTACCAATAAAAATGTAACCAGTTTTGTCCGTCACACAAAAATTACTCTTCAGAATGAATAGAATAACTACCAAACTGTTTTGAACCAGCACAAAAGGTTAGATTTGGCCCCAAAATTGACTGAAATGTTATTCTGGAGGAGTGTTTTCTGTTATTAAATAGGGTGTTATAAATTCACCAGAAATTAACACCAGAAAATTAGAAACTATTTAAAACAAACAAGAATCAAATGAATAGTCTAGAACTGAAAAATACAATATCTGATATTAAATGGATAAATCCATAAATATAGTAGGAGATTTTAAACATGACTGTCTCAGTAATTATTAGATCATAAAGACATAAATAACAGTAAGGATACAGTGGATTTGAATAAAATAAATAAACAAATC